GAATGGTTCTACCAACATAAGAGGCATCACAATAATCACATTTTAATTTATAAATACCACTTTTGTCAAGTGTGTTTATCCTATCTTTGATGTTGATTAAAAAGTAACCTAGTGTTGTGTGACTTGAAGGAAATTTTGATGTTTTCAATTGTAGAAGTAAAAAGTGTTAATATTTTATTGGAAATGTTGCTAATATAAGTAAAGGAGAAATATCTGATGTTATTTGAAGCATTGGGTTGAAGCCAACATTGTGATGAATAAGCAAGCTTTTCTGCAATTTTAAGTTTAGCTCTATTTAGAAGCTTATGGATAAAGTTGGGATCATAACCACTATTGAAAACAATTTGCTTGATAGGATTAAGTTCTAAGAAGTTATCATTAGAAAATGGAAATTTGAGTAACCTATGAATGTACCTACCTGTTGAAAGCAGCCAATTTATGTTGGGTTGGATGATTAGCTGTTTCATGTATAACATGATCTGTTTGAGTAGGTTTTCTGTAAAAATTGTACTCTATAGAATCTTTATTACGAGATATAGTCATATCCAAGAACTTATTGTCAGATTCTGGTTTCAGTGTAAAAGAGATGTTAGGATGGAGGTTATTAAGATCATCTAGAATCTGTAAATCATCATCTTGGGTTCCCGTATGAGAGCTATACAATCAACAACATATCTTGACCAAAAAAATATTTTGTTGTTGTTAACAAATTTCTGTTCTAGGCTGTCTAAGAAAATATCAGCTAGAAAAGGTGATAATGGAGATTCCATCGCTAAACCTGTTGGTTGTTTATATATTTTTTGATTAAATTAGAAGAAGTCCTGATCAAGACAAAATTTAAGCATAGTTAAGATAGCATCTTTGTCTTTTGCTGGTATGTTGCAATTGTTTAGAAGGTTGTGTACTAAAGGTAATGTTTCATCTCTTGGTACAGAAGTAAACAAATTGGAAACATAAAAAAAACTAAATAATTTATACAAAACGAAATAACAAATTTATGGCGATAAAATTAAATACAGCTTTCTGTAAATAATGGAATTCTATTATGCAAGACAACCTTAATAGTAAACTGGTTCATCTTGACAATTTGCTGAAGAAACAAATATCTCGAATCGAAATGAAAATATATCATCCTTTATTAACATAACAGTGTATATACTAAAAGTAACTTATCAATAACAAATTAATAATTATTAATAATACAATAATAAAAATTAAAATACTAACGATAAAAACAAAATTTTAAAGTCTTAATATTTTGTACAAAGTATGTCGAAATAATAATTTCTATCGTAAATACGTATTTAAACCTGACACATTTCGGTAACGACTATGCTACTTTTAAAATAATTCAATAGACTAGATTGAAACAGTCGAAAATTTTTAGTTCTTAAACATACAAGGCGACTTAACAAATTCGTAACATATATTTGTCTAACTAATCTTAATTCTATATTGCTATTTACTAAACCAAAAATCCAAAATTAACCTAATTACATAGACAGTATTTAAAATTTTATTTTACCTATGTCAGTATTAAGAGTCAAAATGTTAATGTACTCTTAAAAAGCTGATAAAACGACAGAAAGTGTCCCAGTGTTTTCGTCTATACAACTAATTGTATATGTAACAATAATGAATCGATAGCAAAAGTTAATCATTTTAAATACCTAGGATGTTGGATAAACGAGACACTAAATCCGGATGAAGAAATTAAAACTCACGTAGAAATTGCAAGAGTAGCATTTATGAACCATTCTGAGCAATTCTCAGCTGAACTTACAGCTGAGAATTCAAGTTCTTAAAATGTTATGTGTATCCTGTATTACTGTACGAATGTGAATCCTGGATAATGAAGGTTAACATGATGAACAAATTAGAATCCTTCGAAATATCGGAGAATGCTCAGAATACCATGGGTTCAACCCATTTCAAACAGAGAAGTCTTGAACAGAGTAGATCAAGGTAAAGGTGACTTAATAAAGATGATAAAAAACAGAAAACTCTAATATCTGGGACATATATTAAGAGGAAGCAGATGCATGAAAATGCAGAGATCGACGGAAGAAGAGGAATTGGTAGAAAGAAATACTCATGGCTCTGAAACCTTCGTCAATGGACTGGCTTGTCAGCAGATGAATTATTACATGCTGCGCAAGATCGAGAAAGATATCGGCAAATCGTCATGGAAGCTATCCACACCTAAAATTTGGGCACGGTACTCAAAGAAGAAATGCTTTTCGAAATTTTCTAATATAAGGACACAAACAATTTTATTCCATAAGGGTTTTCCAACCTTTATAATTTCAAAACTTCCCCCTCAATTATTCGTAATAGATCCAACATAATATATTTCGTTGAGATCAGGTTGTTAAGGAGCTTTTAAAAATATAAAAATATATAGAAGTTCCATTAAAAAAACTTTTGAACTATACTAGGCCAGTGAGTCACCCTAGAAATTTAAATTTATATTTAAAAGGCGCATATTTATATATAAAATTCGACAAGTCTCAGCATTTTTTATAACAAGGGTGAAATAATTTTATTCCATAAGTGATAAAAATTGATACCTCGCACAACTTAGGTAACACAAATTAGTCTGCCAAATTTCCAGGCTACTTTTCAATCTCCTGACCAATTAATCATTTTTAAGCGGTTTTTCTTGTTCTAGATTCTTCCTTTCGCAGAAACAACTCAATCGCTTCTTTGCGTATCTACTTGCTAACCCTTAACTTCCAAGAACTGATACAATAAACTCTCAGTCAGTTTTCTAAAGCTATTCTTATGGCCACCGCTATGTTTTCTCTAGAACTAGATTGTTTTAAGAAGAGAAAGTCCCTTTGACTCGAACTGGTTCTCTGTTTTAATTCATAATTGTGAAAACGAGAATTCTGTGAAAATATATCCAATAAAATTAACCAACAGCCCGACTACATAAAAACAATTTGTTTTAGTAACGAAAGTACTTTTTCTCTCAATGAAAATGTTAACACAGACAATGTGAGGTTTTGGAGTGACACAAATTCTCATGTCTTTCGTGAAACAAATACTCGATTTCCAAAAAAAAATAAATGTTTGGGCAGGTATTTTGGGAAACTACATAGTTGGGCCTGTTTTTCTCAATACTAACTTAACCGGTGAAGTGTATCTTGAGATGTTACAAAATGCAATTGAACTGTTAATACTTGAAGATTGGAGGATGATCCAGATGAATTCGGCAACTTCAAAAATAACGATTCAACAAGATGCTGCTCCTGCAGACCATTATTTTGGAAACCATCAAATAAATTATTTTTAAATCAACGTTTATTTCGTAACGTTTATTCATTTTAGCATTTAAATATTATCTCTTTCACGTACAACTTATCATTTGGTATCATTAGTGTCTACCGGGATATAATTACCCTTTCTCGACGCTTTTGTTACTGCCTAGTAATCATACTGTATCTTTCTTGTTATCGTTCTCATCTTCTTTCTTTTAAAAAATAGTGTGGTGCCCAAAATTATTTTTCTCTTTCGTATTCTCCTGTATATCTCACTCGAGAACCTCTTAGCCTAGCTCTGTCGAACCCCGACCAAGACACCTCCACCAAACTGAAGCCCAGGCCTTAGTATCGTTATTTGTGTAACCGTGTTGTCAATGATCATTTACCATCTTCCATTTGGCACACTCCACCACAGCCCAACCGTGGTTTCATCTTCTAAAATGCCTTCATGCTCATAATCTTTACATAAGAAATTATCTTATTCTTTTTTTTGCAAAAGATATGTAATTTAAGTAGGTGGATTCACGTTACGATTCTCAATCAGCGATTTTAACAAAATACTCATTTCTCGTTTTAGTTTTATTCTATTAAAATTGTTTTCATACTTTAAAAATTATAATACTTTTTTATAAAATATCAAATAAGTCGCCTTGCATAATTAAAACAACCTTTAACATAATACAATTTTTTCCATTCTAAAATAAAGGTTAAAATTGGTAATTTCCTAAAGAAGGAAACCTTTAAAAAACATTTAATATTTTAAAATGGAATACATATCCCAAGAACTACTCTTTGATGCTGCATATATAGTTGCTAAGGGTTTTAACGTTTTTCGAATCCACTATGCACTCGTAATTATTTTGATAAGAATGTCAACATTTCAAGGTATACTAGATATCGATTCAATATATACTAGAACCACAAGAACTTGCATACATTTGCTATCCAACATTAATTTAAGCGGACTTTACATTTAAGAGTACTCGGATCCGAGTAGCTCGGATTTGAGTTACGTGTAGAACTGCGATCGTTTACATTGAATCCGAATGATCAGAATAGTTTCAAAGAGAATTTAAAAATTGCGCCATCAAGAAAGAAACGAGCTGCTGTTGCACTTCTGTACTTTTAGATCGCTTCATTTTTTTTTCTTTTGATCCATTTGATCTGCAGAAAAATCCTCAATTTTTAATTTGGAATTTCCACCACTTTGACGCTCACTCGTACAGGAACTGATAATGAACTGACAGGAACTCGTACTGCTACTCGGTATGCGTTCAACTTTAATCCGATCTCGGATACGAGTGATAAGAGGTTCCGAGTAGACGTTTGTACTTTCGAGTTGCACTCCAAGTAAAGTAACTCGGATCCGAGTACTCATAAATGTAAAGCGGACTTTATGTATGAAAAAACAATTGTTGAAATTTTTAAACGCAACAATCAAGACAACTATTATGTAAAAGTGAAAGGTTAAATATTCTTAAACGAATAAAAATATATAGAAAAGAATTTCGACTTAGTAATGCTCAGTTATTGAAATACCAGCCAATATCTATACATTTAATTATATATCAGCTTCACCGAATTATCGAAACCTAAAAGAAGTTTATGCAGCACTAAAGAGACTGCTCTTAGGGTTATACATATATCTTGGTCGATATTGGGAGACTAGCATAAAGAATAAACTATATTTCATATAAGTTAAGAAGACAACCTAACATTTTTGTGTACTTTCAGATAACACACAGGACATCGGATATAAGCCTGCGTCACAAGTAAGTCTAACAATATATAATGTCATCCAACAAACAATTCTAGCATATGGATTATTTAGATTTGAATAAGGTTCTACTATCTGTATCTGTGTTCATAACCTACAAATTTTCCGCCTAATTCTATTATAAGAACGTGGAAATAGATATATATATTACGGAAGTTTTTTGTTATGTTGGTACACATGTCGCCAACATAAGTTGACATTATCAGCCATTTTGCATTTTTGGTTTGCTTTTGACAGATATAAAAGTTAAACGTGTTTAGGTGATTTTTTGCTATCGGAAAAAACTGGATCAAGAAATATGTATTAAATTTTGTGTAAAAAAAATTCTCGATGTTTTGAACATCGAAGAAGAACAGATGTCTACTACGACTCAGATTTGGTCAGAAGGATCATAACTGGTGGCGAATCATGGGTATATGATTTTGACGTCGAAAGCAAAGCCCAATCATCCTACTGGAAGCTGCCAGAAGAGACAAGACCGAAAAAAACCACACCAAGTTCGGTCAAGAGTGAGGGTTTTGCTGTTTTCGTAGTCTTCTTCTTCGTCTGGTTCGTCAGATACTTTTACAATAGTCTGGAAATTTAGATAGAAACGTTTGGGTAAAGCTTGGAATTGTGGTACCCAATTGGACAATAAATTAGACTTTTATCAATCTCATGATTAGGTTTGTCATCAAGTGGAATTCGAGACAAAAGATCATTTGCAAACACTTAAGGCTTCAATAGAGAGATCAGTGGAATATAATAGACCTCTTGAGATAACGATTTCCAAAAAGCTTTTGACAATGTTGAGCTTCTTGCAAAACTAGCATCATTATATCGAAGCAGGGTGAACTTCCTATATACCCCGTTGATCTAACAGACATAAAAACATTGACTACAAACTTAAAACTCCACAAATACATAGATAAGTATCAGATATAAAAAGGATTCAACATTACTCCTAAACTATTGTGACTAACACTAAAATAGTGTTAGAATATTTTTCTTGTGGTGCCTATCCGTTACGGATGTTGGCAACTAGCATGGCAATTCTAACTTTATTGACCGCAACTCGAAATAGTCCTGAAGTGGTCAAGGAAAACCATTTTCGTAAATTCTGGAGCAAAGATAATCTTCTTCTTCCTGGTCTCCTCTTTCCGAGACCGTAGTGTTAGAATATGTATATTCGGTTTTTTAGGCGTTACGCCCGTCCGGTAGGGATCTATGGAGGATTGTTTTCTGTCACACATCCACTGAACCATTCGACAGTGAAGCGAATGAGAGGCAGCCGCACAGCCCGCTGAGCTATCTGACCGACAAAGTTAGAAGTGTTAGAATACGCTTTTAAAATCTAATGGGATAGTGTTGGTGAATACTTAAATCACCTCCGCTTTACTGATGGTATTATCTTAATCACTGACAACCTAGATGAGCGCTCCAGAAACCATGAGTTGATCAAAGCAGTGACGAACGTTAGTCTGCATATCAGTTTCAAAAAAAAAATCTTGCCCTATAGCGAGTTATAATTTACGGATAGATGAAGAAGAAATAGAACAAACCCATGAATATAAATACTTGGGTTGACCAAACTTGTGAACATATATCGCCGTATTCGGGTGGTGGCTTTTGGGAAGCTGAGAAATGTATTTGAGTCGTACATTCCTATTTGTTTGAAAAGGAAAGTGTACGAGCAATGTGTTTTACCTGTGATCCATACGGCATCGAAATATTGACCTTGACAAAACGTTCAATAAACAAACTGAGAGTGGTGCAGAGGATGGGAGAGCGATGTTGAAAGTATTCAGAAAAGACAGAATAGCGAACGCCAACATAAGACAAAGGGCGAAAATAGTTGATATTTTACAACATATCACACAGTCTAAATGGAGATGGGCACGTGACATAGCCCAAGTGACCGACAAAGGTTGGACCAGAAGACTAATATTGGAACGACGATATAAAGAGGATATCAACCAACAGTATTAATAGCGCTTAAGACTGTAAAAGTTGGAGCAGGTCTATGTTCTGTAATGGACAAGAGTAGCTGACTGATGAAAATGATGAATGCGTCAACTCACATATTATTGTTTGTTTGCTAAACAAAGCACCACCATTACGTCTCAGACACAATGTTCATCATACTTGTCCTCCCTCATCAAACGACTCTTTGCTATTCAAAAAAAAAAAAATTAAACTATGAAAGGCCTAAGATTTGCCGCGATTGAGGCGATAAAGACCTTTGACTAAAAGAGTTCAAAACCATGCCAAAAAATGCCTATCAGAAGTACTAGGATTGCAAAAAGCATTTGCGCAAGTAAATTATATCTGGGGGAGATTGCTTTGAAGAGGGAAAAATAGATATTAAGTCAAGAATAGTCAAGTCAAGTTTTTCTTTAACAAACATACCATAAATGCCAAATGATAAATATAAAATTACAAATTGCATGACGAAACATAGATTGATTTGCTATGAAATAATGAGTGGCGGTCTGAATATAAATACTTCAAAACTCAATTGGCCAGTTGTTAACGATTTGTTTGAAATTGAAAAAAAAAACCAAAACAGTAAACATGAAATCCTTTGAAATTTTGATGTATAAAAATTCTTCAAATCCTTTCAACTTTTAGACAAGCTAAAACATTGTATTGATAATACAAACGCAAAGGGAATAATTTAAAAATGTCTCCTATTTGCAATATACCACTTACACTATTAGAGAAAATCGTATTAAGAATATTATATACAAAATGGCGGAAAGGATTTAAATGTGAATGTAACAGAAGGTTCAATTTTTAGATGTTAACAAAAGTTATTAAATATTTAGGATATTTTAAAAATTTCTTCCTCAGAATTACAAAAAATAGAACTCACTAAATATTTTATAAAATATATTATTTGGACTAGGGAAAATGGAAATTAATAATAAATTCCGATTAACAGGAAATTATTCTTGACAGCTGTAATCTCATCTTCTGTAGAATAAAAAGAGACATCTGACTCTGGTGATTTATATTTCGTTATTTTTACTACTCCATTCTTAGTTATTACATTTATGTGTTTTGCATTTCTTGAAGCCTGTTTATTTCTAGGATTGTGTCTTATTCCGTAATCTTCATAGTCTTTTTACTTTCGTATCAACCCGGATCTCAGTAGTGCAGGCCACTACTGGCCTAACCACAGCTTTATATAATCTGGAATTTAGTTCCATTGATATATAATAACCTCCTCATTTCTTGAGTCCTTGTCAGGGCGTCGTGACACTCTAAATATGCTTGGTCTGCTTCCTCCATTGGTTGCGATCCTGTGGCAGATGGACGGCTTCATATAGAAATTTTCCCACCAGATTTCTTCATTTGCTCTGCTTATCTTCTAAGAGCTCGTCCTCTTGGTCTTTGACCTTCTTCTTTCTACTACGAACAGTTTCATAGTTCTCCTTTCTTCTGATTATGTGCCGAAGTAATTTAGGTATGGTCGTGACTTTTTTATGCCTTTTTATTTTCATCAAGAATTGACAAGTTGGTTCTGTGTTCACTGCAGGACACAAGTAGAATTATTCTGTAGATGCACATTTCGAAACCAAAACTCTTATATTAAGCCAAATGTAACACCAACTGTCAAATAATCAAACTTTGGAGACGTAGACGTTAATATCTGACGCACTCAAGATTAAACTTGTGAGAATTGGTCACTCCAGGATTAGATGTCACATAGAAAATGTGAGATCTGCCTTCATCAAACATTATTTTTCATAACATGACCAAGAACATATGTGAGATTAGTACTTTCCATCCTTTTATATGGAGTGGAAGTTTAAACATTGACGAAGCCAACATATAAACAACTAAAAGCCTCCTAAATGTAGTGATATTGCATCATGATCAGACTTGCATCTATCCATCCACAAATAACTCTTGTGATCCAACGTGTACAAAGGTGTGAAATGTGTGTAAGCTATGAAAATCAGAAAGTCATACTTGAAAAGTAGCAACCAATTCAGTTAATTTTCCCAGGCAAGAGCTCAGGAACGTCCAAGGATATCGTAACTGAAGAATATCAGAATGGGTGGGAATATCGATATCAGAATGTGTTTACTCAGAGCAGCTCTCTGTGACATGGTATGTAAAAATCTTGTCCAAAATTAAAAAAAAATATATGAAACATTTGATATTATCATGTGTGATCCATTATTAAGAGACAGATAGTCTGTTAAGACGAATTTGCAAATAAAAATATTCGTCTTAATAAAAAAATTAGTCCCAATATGCTAGAACTGTATTATTTACTCAATCTATACAGTCCGCAGACTAATTTGTATAACAATTAAGCAGCTGCTAGAAATAAAATTAAAATATAGACAGTCTTAACAACTAGGTACAGTGCTGACCTACAACAACGTGACATATTTCTCTCTTACAGTATATACTACTCACTTACTTGATACTGCTTTCTTCTTCTTTTTCCTTTTGAAGAAACCACAGCATTTTGTCTCTTCTACGATTTCCACCTCTTTCGTCTGAGTAATGGGTGTATTACTATGTGCCATGGAATTATCTGCGTGCAAATCTCCATTAGTGGAATTGATGACCATAACAGATCCTGGGCGATCAGCAGGAGTGAGGTTACCTAAGGTGCTGTGTTTGGAGTTTTCTGGTTTGGTGTTGATAGCCCGTTTCTCACGAAGCGGTGATATGGCGAATTCTTGAGTGGCAGTAGGTAGAGATCCAGCTGATAAGTTTGTGGTTTTACCAGACCAATCGAACTCGTTGTCATCAACATAACCCTTACTTTTAAATAAATCCGCAAATAAACCTCTTAGGTATTCATAATCGGGAGTTTCAAAGAAATCTAATCTCCTAACATACCGTAAGTATGTAGCCATTTCTTCGGGATAACCTTTGCACAGGCTTTCAATGGAAGTTTCCCTTTTTGTATCACCTATTTTTTGGTAACGTTCTTTTAGAGTATCAGCCTTAAGTCCTTGCCATGGTAAGGATCCTCTAAGAAAATACATAAACATATGACCAAGTGCTTCTAAATCATCTCTTCTAGATTGTTCTCTGCCCAGATGTGTGTTTATTGACATGTACCTCGCTGTTCCAGTCAATGATTTATGTTCTCTATAAGGAATATGTTTACTTGTTTCAGGTTCTATGTATTCTTTGGCTAAACCAAAGTCTATAATGTGTATAACTCTTTCTCTGTGACTACCTGTACGCCCAACAAGAAAATTTTCTGGTTTTATATCTCTATAGATAAGATGCCTTGAATGAACATACTCTATTCGATGTAACAGTTGAATAGCTGTCATCAATACTGTTTTTAAGGTGAATTTACGATCACATATGTCAAATAAGTCTTCCAAACTAGGCCCCAGCAGCTCCATCACCAATGCATTAAATTTACTACATGGGCCAAAGTAGTAAACATCAGGTACTCCTTCATGACTACCCAATAGTTTGTAGTATCTATACTCTAAATGAAGCTGAGGAGCTTTGGTTTTAAATGGCTCCAATTTAATAGCCACGTGTTCATTAGTATACAAATTTTTACCTAAGCGTAGATCACCAAAATTTCCACATCCGATTTTTTTGCCCACTTTAAAGTTCGGGCCTACCATGAGCACCGACGAGGTAGAATTTGAGCTTGTTTCGTTTGCACCGTAATGTTTTGATGAAGTTTTTTTCTGGTCCCCTTTATCCATGGTTGAAGACTTTAACACAAATCAAAACATTCAAAAGTTATTTTGATCCTTATCACATAGTGGTTTATCACAGTCAATAAGGGTTATAAGCTGCGAGTTGTTAAAAAACTGTATAACACTCAATTTTATGAAAAATAAAATAAAATACCTTGATTGGTTTTGTCTTTACGTTTTGTTAAGTCACTTTTGATAATCTGAAACAAGAGAAAATAGTTTACAATCAAAGTAAGATTAACATTTACAGTAAAACACACAATTTAAAACATAAAAGATCAGAAGGAACATATATGAATTTACACTGTAACCATTCAATAATTAAAATTTATGAAAAAAAGTGTGTTTTATAATTTATGATACGAACGTTTATTTTAAAAAATATATGTTTACCTCACTTATATGGCTTTATTTACATTTAAGTACAAAGATATTGGCAAATTTTGATTCAGAAAGATAATAAGGACAAATGTTTTTGCATGTAAGGATTAAATGATTTAAAATGAATAAAAGATGGTCTGGCATGCCTTTTTTTCAACATAACACTGGACAGTGTACTAACTGCGTTAGACAATATGGACCTCACAATAAACAAAAATAAAACTAAATTAATGATGCCCATATAAAATATCTTTGTTTCCTTATGACTCAGAAAGGAGGAGTAGAATAATAAAAAGAAAAATACATGCAATATATAAAACACTCATCCTACTAGTGCTGCTATATAGGTCATAAACATGGACTATGTCTAAAATATATGCAAACCATCTACTACATCTATATCTTAAAAAAAAAGCAGGGCATCTGTCCAGAATAAACAAAAACTACCCTCCCAGTTAAACCAAATTATCAATATCTGTTGAAAACAGAACTAGAAGCAAGCCAACATAGGTGGATAGAGGTTTAAATGAAGATGTGAGAAATATTTGAGCAGTAAATGGTTGGTAATAAATGGGAACTAATGGCAATATAGAGTAGACAATATCGGGGCTCAACTAGGGTATCCTCAAGTACCACAGATGATAATGACAAAGAAGTATACCAATATTAAATTATTTGAAAATAATGAATATATAGAATGTGCACAAAACTAACTTTTTATAAATAAATATTAACTAGACAAATGAATACACAAAGAAGTTATCAAAATAAAAAGAAGTTTACTAATGCTTGATCCATGTTTATGTTTAACAAAAAATCACCAAAAACATTTTCTGTCTTCTTGTATGGTGTAAATATGACCAAGCCAAACATACAATACATTTGAGATGTCACCATATCTAAGAGTCTTGAAAATATCTTGGAATGACAAAATAACTGCCTGGGAAAAATTCCAAGGGTTGAAAAAACAAAAATGAATAACATTCACAATTAAACCAGGACATTTTACATGTAGAGGAATTTATAATTTATTGCAATAATTATGTAGGAAAATATTAGAACTAAGCACAGCATAGGTAGGAAAAGGATGTCTTGGTTGAAAACCCTAAGCTAATGGTCAATTTGTAGTTATACCAAACTTAAGAACAGCTGGGTTAAAATTGATGATAACTCTTTCAGTACAGCACCAGTTTACTAGGATGTGACCGGCTGGATGGTCACAGACAGTGCTTCCCACTTGGGTCTTTTTTGTCCTGAAATATTGGACCTCCTTTGTCAAAAATATATTACATTTTGTTATTCCTTCATAAATTTTTGTTCAAGTAGATTGAATTACACTTGGTGTACCATCTAATGGATGTTTTATTGTAAACACTCATATAAAAATAAAAAGTGATCAAATTACAGGTAACAGGATATTGTTAATAGAGTAAAAGGAATAAGATTATCACAGATAAAACGCAACTTGCTGCAGCAAGCAATATTACTAGTAAATGAAGCGTTTACTTGAATTTACAATAAATTCCTGTAGGTAAACAAGTCGTGTATGTATTTGACTTGACTTGCTTCATATCTACCAGGTACAGACATTTTTAGTGACTACAGTGGTTTCCTGCTGTGAAAGGATTATTGCAAATGATAATAGACAACCTTTATAGCAAAGACGGCACTTAGACAAAAAGAAGAGTGATAAACACTATCAGGAGAAAGATATTAGCTATACTTATCTGTAATATGGCAAATGCCAGAAACCAATGGCTCTCAACCTAAGTCACGTAAATTTGTAAAAGCATTTATATACTTCCGAATAAAGGATACACTATAAATAATTATTATAGAGATTTACTAAAAACTAGATGACCATTTGTTCTTATTTGATCAACAAAAAATGGTTTAATTGCATTCTTACCTAAAAAAATTTGGTAAAACAGGTTATGCTGTTTGTTCAAATTTCCTAAACTTTAGGTTGGATCTAATAACCTATGCAATGCATTTGAAAACAATTATCAAACATAAATTATTACACTTTGATTAAGAGATGTTTTATTTTCGAGAAATATCACTCAATTATTTAAATATCAAAAGCTGTTGTTACAATCTCCACTAATTATATACAAAACATCAATTATTTAGGTACCACAATATAAACACTATTGACCTACTAATGATTAGCATAATTAGACAATATTAGAACTAACAAAGATAACACGAGCCATCTATATGTCAATAATCTGGTAAAGACATTAATAAATAGATTGAAACTTATTTACTTTTAAATATTAAACTGGTTGATGTTTACTATCTGTATTAAACATTTACTTTAAACAATAAAAATATAGTTTAAAGAAAATATTCTGTTTTAGAAATTATTTTGAGCTATAAATATCCTAATTAACACAAAAAACCTATGCAGTAATATGAATATATATGCTGTCTTACCTTAAACTATTATGTCAATACATAGTAAAAAGCCATAAATTGCTTGTCCTAAGATTAAAAATCTATCTATCTTCTAAAAATCCTAAAAATAACATAAATTAGAAGTTGAATTACAAGAAGATATTAAATACTTACCTAATTTTTTATTTTTACACCAAAATCTAAATCAGTACACTAATTGGGTGTTTTAGATGAAAATGTAAGTACTCGACAATCCAACAAAGATAACTTATGTAATTAAATCATTACAGCTGTACGAATACGTTTACCTTTCAAAACAAATTAAATTAGAATTGATTTAAAACCCCATATTACAAAATCTGAGACATTCTACCACCCACACAGTCCATTGGCAGAAGTTATAACCTAATTTTCGGACTATCTTTTCGGCTGATGACACATGACTGACATAACTTCACTTCTGACTTCTGACATCTAATCGCGTGATTACTGTTACTACCAGTGTTGTTTCAACGAACATGAATTATTATCAAATCATAATATACAGGGTTTTCAAAATTTATACGAAAGAAACTCATGCTTTTTATAAAATTATTTGTATTGGGATATTTCTATTGAAAATGAATTTATTAAATGCACGCCTTTTAAAAGTCTATTTAAAGATAATATTGTAAGCAATCAATTTAAGCAAGCAATTTAAATACATTTTGTTCTTCCAAGAAACTTATGTAAATATTTTTTCTGTGCAATAAATAATTAAAAAATTAAATGAAGTTTTAAACATATATTCAAAGGATAAACTTAACCTATTGGGTCAAAACTCTAAAATATTTTTGTTCTCTACGTAATTATTTAGCTTTATAAAGATTACATTACCTCTCAATGTTGGGACACTAGAAATAACAGTTCTTGGAAACGATTTGATATTTCTACGAGAAATATTTTTTAGATATACCAGGTGGAAAATCAAAAAGTTCTATTCAATAAATTTTTTCTTAGTTCGAGATGTGTTTTAACAATTCAGTTAACTTACGAGAAAATAGTTTGTTACGTCCATTAGTTATTCAGAAATAATTTATTCTTTTGTTTGTTTCTAATAAATGACATAGTAGGTAGATATATTAGTTTCAATCAATAATTATTTTTTATATTCGTAGGTATATCACTTATCGGGAACGGATCACAAATACGACACGTTAGCACATACGACTACGGGACTATAGCACCTCACGCTGTCTAGTACCTACATTACGCGGTACAAACGTAATACTTATTAGGACCCCTTTTCCTGGGATTCACATATCACACGTAAACTTTGATGATAGTAGTAGTCCCCATCGTATAACAGTACTTTGGGATACGTTGACATGGTATAACAATACGTGGTGAGCATTGAAGTTTTAAGGAATCATACCTAGCTTCACCAGGTGCCAACCCTCCTCTACCCAAGGATGGATGTCCGTTTGTACTTTATCTCGTCAGACTGGGTCAGATTGAAGTGATATTTCAGTTCTTGAATCAACTCTTGTGCCGTTATTCTAAATAAATTATATTGATTTGGATAGAATCAAAAGTTGTTTTTAATGTAACACATGCTATCTCTAATGGAACATTACATTTGATGTAATGGTTTGTTTGTCTTCAATGTCTCTGTAGCAGCAATAACGTAAAGACTAGAAGCACTGTCACAGCAGGAAAGAACCTAAATGTGCAGTAATGTAAGATAATTTACTTTCATCGATTAAGAAAAATCGTTTAATAGTTCTGATATGTGAAACTCCAAACCTATTCACTTTTATTTAGGACTGAAATAGTCGTTAGAGAATTATACTTTAAATAACTCGATTAAAGTAAACGGACAAAGCAAAATTAAAAAAAGGAAGGTAAAATTTCGACAAATGATTTGATGTATTTGTACCTAATCATTTACGTATGGAAATAGAATATAGAACAGGAGTAGCTAAAGCAGGTTTTTTTTTACATAAAATTAAGTGACAAAATAAACAAAGCCACTAGAATATCATTCAGATAAGAGGAACATAAGAATAGTTAGAAAATATTGGGAAACATCACGTAGCGAATATTGAAGACCGTGGGAAAGATTCTGTTGTAGATTTTATATCTAATCGAGAGATATCCAATCTTTTCAATTGATAAAATAAATTAAAATAAAAGTACTTATAATAATACCTAGTTGTCGTTTTCAGTAGCTTAGAAAAGTATCG